CCTGTTTCCCTTTGTCGCCTTTTACGACACCCACGGGAAGATATGGGGTAGTGCATATTCTCAACCGCCACTACACGACGAAACGGCAATTTTTTTTTCGTAATCCAAATAATATAACACCAAGGATAAAGTGGTGTAAACTAATGAACCGCAATTTAATTGGACCTAAAAGCACTAAATATGTGTGTGAAGATCATTTTGATGTAAGTAACTATTAATAAAAGCTGCCTATTTCTGATTTGGAAGTAATTGGAAGGAAAGACTAGTAATAAGTTGGGGGGTGACTCGAACTTTAGGCCTAGTAAGTTTGAATAGCGTATCATGTAGAAAATGTCATGGGGTCATGGTTGAATAGGGGCAAAAAGTTATCATTACACTGCTAGGGTGTCAAAATGGCCAATGATCAAAAAATTAAAAATTCTTATTTCGGCTATAACTCTGCCTCTTTCGAAGGTTCTTACAGTCTTTACTTCCCGCATCCCACTTGTTGATATACCTCTTGAATCGTAAGTAGGTTCGGAATAACTTATTCAGTAAAAATAACTACCTAGTCAGGTCATAAATTCTGTCACATGCTCTCTGCCATTTATATACCAAAATGAACTTAACAAAACATAGATTCTTATGACACTAAAGTTTATTCAAAATGACCTCCGTGATTTTGAATACAGGCCTTCAATCTGCGCGGCCAGTCGTCTATCGCAGCACGAACGAGGTCCATGTCAATATCGGCGGCTGCCTTAATCAAGGATGTCTTGAGTGACTCCAAATTGGGATGAGGCTTTGAGCACGCCTTTTCCTCCAAGTGTTGCCATATCTTGTAATCTAACGGATTCAAATCTGGACTGGAGGAGGGCCAGTCTTCGTGCCGGATGAAGTCTATTTCACGCGCCGCCAGCCAGTCTTGTGTGCTCTTCGCTCTATGAGCTGGCGCCGAATCTTGTTGGAATACCCAGTGCCTGTTATTGAACATGGTATGAGAAACAGGTTCCACAAGGTTCGTCAGGACTGTATTTTGATACACAACTGCATTCGTTTTTACACCTTTCTCACAAAAATGTACCTCTGTTAAGCCCCAATAAGAAACTCCCAACCATACCATGAGCGAGGATGGAAAATGACCTCGTTGGACAGGCGGAATACGGTTGCTCGCTTCTTCAGTACTGTGTACGTACACCTTATCATTTTGTTTGTTGTAGCTCTCTTCTACGGTAAAAATTTTTTCATCCGAAAAAAGAATTTCCCGATATTTATTTTCCCGCGTACCGCTTCAACAAAGCGCGGCATCTCTTCAGTCTCAGGTCCATTAGACGAGTATTCAAACGATGTCCTGTTTTTCTTCGATATGCCCGAAGCCCTAAGTCTTTATTTAACACCCTTTTCACCGTGGTTCTGCTTAACCCCATCTGAAGTGCCAACAGTTTCTGCTTACGTTTGGGATTTCTTTGAATTCGTGCCTTCACAGCTTTTATCACTGCTGGAGTCCTAACAGACCGAGGGCGACCACTTCTTGACCTATCATCTACACTAGAGTCTTCATTGTATCGTTTGATGGTACGATAAACGAATCTTTTGGTTACATTCAAATTTTTCAGTATGTCAAAAATTTGAATTGGCGCGTAACCGCAACGATGCAACGCAATAACTGCAACACGGTCTTTTTTAAGCGTCCACTCCATATTTAAAAATGAGTAAAATTCTAAAAAGTATACAGTTTTATTTTCATGAACAATTCGAAATTCGAATTCAATAAACTTTTTTGTGGCCAGCATTCTAAAAGAAAAGTTTTTACTGTGTGACAATACTTATGACCTGACTAGGTATATATTTTATGAATATAATAAAGAACCGAGGAGCATATGAAAAAAAGAAATCATAGTTAGCGGTCGGCGGCTTTCGTGGGCTCGGAAGCATTTACCATGGAGTGATGAACAATGGTTTCTGTTGCTGTTCACCGATAAGTCCCAGTTTGGGTTTCATCCGGATTCACGAAGAACACGCGTTTGGAGAACTCCAGGGAGAGTTAGCCGTTTACGGCACCCTCAGGAGGTCCACTCATACCAAGACGAGACAATCATGGTGAGGGCAGGAATTCGTCTTGGCAGTCGAACCCAGCTTGTTTGGATCCAAGGCAGCATGATTGCACAAAAATACCACGAATACTGGTGTCGGCCGCTCTCCGAGACCACGATATTCAAGTTTTCGATTGGCCTGCACAGTCGCCCGACTTTAATCCTATCGAGCATGCCTGGGACATGTTACGACGAAAAGTTTTAAGAGATTTCCCTCCAAATTTGACGACGCAACAACAACTTTACAAACACTTGCAAAGAACATGGGACCTCATACCGCAGCAAGACATTGACAATTTAATTTTAAGTATGAACAATCGATGTCGATGTGTAATTAATATAAAAAGTGGCAACACTGGTTATTAATAATTAGATTTTATAATATTTTTTCAATTTTAATTAAAATCAATAGTTTTATAAGAAGAAATTAATTTTTTATCATACTACTTTTCTACAGTGATTAAAAAGATTAACATTTTTATTTAAAACCAAAATATGGCTATTGAAATAAACTTAAAAGTGTATATATTTACTTAAAAAGTTTAACTCCTTTTATTTCAGCACTAACATAAGACGGATTTAAAGAAAAACGTCCATTACTGTGTATATAACAATATTAGGCAAATTATCACTTTGTCCTTAGACGAAGCTTTCTTCCATTATAGTGAAATAAAAACTACACACAAATAAAAAAAACACAATGTACATTAATAAACATGAACGCAGCAAGAGCCCTGGTGTTACTCTGAAACTAATACCACAGAATAAACAATAGCACAAGAACTAATACTTGAATGATTGACTGACTTGAATGACGTCACACGGGAATCAGAAACCACAGGCATTCCATACTAAAATATGTGAACTTCAATAATCTATTTCTAAGTCATTTATTGATGTATTTCAAAAAAATTTTCACTGATTGATTAGTTTTGATCTATATTTTAATACCATTACGTTGAATATAATATTAACAACATTATGAAACTTCTCCATTGATTTTTATATATAGAGATTAGAACAGTTTAGAATGTAGATCGGTCATCTGGTTCTTATGAGCATTTTCGTGACATTTCGTAACTAGCGAATTCACGATTTTTTTTAAAGTTGTAACTAGCGACATCACGGTTTTTTAAGAACTACCATAAACTGAAAGGTTAAGCAATAATTGTATCCAGTGGATTTACATACTGTATAGGTTACTACTACAAAAATTGTTGGTGCAGCAGTCTGGATTCCCAAATATAAAATTGTCTTTAATTATAGACCCCAGGCTTCAGTTTTTACTGAGAAAGCTGTCCCCATCTATGTAGCTATATGCTATATTCTTTCCCATAATATTTGCAAGTCAGATATATTCAAAAAGCTGTCTAATGGATTTACAGAGATTTTTTTTAAATTAAAAACCATGTCACACATGTGACACAAGACTACCACTATATAATTTAGAAATAAATAAATACCTATTAATAAAGTAGTTTTAAACTCTGACTAGTAATATTTAGTATTGGTTTCAGTTTTTTGACGAAAATGCAATTCAAATTGAATTGAGATAGTATCTGTTAACATTATTAATAATGTTTTCTTCTTTTTTCTTTTTAATGATGATCTTTAATAGTGATGTTACGTAATTTAAATTGTGATAAAATGAGAAAATTCCTATTTTGATATTTTATATTATAGTTATGGTATTTAATAAAACAAATCAAAAAATTTTTGGCTAAAAACCAGAAAGTTTATTGTGCGTTCTTGGACTTGGAAAAGGCTTATGACAGAGTGGACAGGAACGTGTTATGGCAAACACTGAACTCATTTGGGTTGAGCGCTGGCTTGATACAGGCATTAAGGTCTCTTTATAGGGACTCTAGTGCTTGTGTCAGGATCAACGGGGTCTACTCGGACTGGTTTGGCATTCATAAAGGTGTCAGACAGGGATGTGTGGCTTCCCCGTGGCTGTTTAACCTATTTATGGACAGTTGTTTGCAAACTTTGAAAGTTGAAGAATGTGGGTTGAGAATGGGTGAGTCAACCGTCAAATGCCTTTTGTACGCCGATGATCAAGTCATATTTGCATCGTCGGCGGCCGAGTTGCAAATGATGGTTACTTTAATGAATTGTTCATTGAAAGAAAGGGGTATGAAAGTGAACGCAAGTAAGACGAAAGTGATGGTTTTTGAAAGAGAAGAAAGTAAAACTTTATGTAAAATAAGAATAGAAGGGGAGTTGATTGAGCAAGTGGATGAGTTTGTATATTTGGGATGTTTATTTAGCAGGGATGGTAGATATGATAAGGATATAGAACGACGAGTGAACGCAGGAAATAGAGTGAATGGGGCTCTACACGCTATTGTGAGGAGTCAGAATGTGTCAACTAAGGCACGTATGGCAATTCATAATGCTGTGTTAGTACCCACTTTAATGTATGGTAGTGAAAGTTGGGTCTGGCAGAAGAAGCATGAGAGTAGAATAAATGCTGTAGAAATGCGTTCCTTAAGGAGTATGCTAGGGCTGAATCTGAATGACAGGGTGAGAAATAGTGTAATAAGAGAAAAGTGTGGTTTGCAAGATGACGTTGTGACAAGGATTAAGAAAGGAATGCTTCGGTGGTTTGGTCACGTAGAAAGAATGAACGAGGAAAGAGTGACAAAGCAAATTTATGTTGCAGAAGTGAACGGCAGGGTCGGGAAGGGACGCCCTAGACGAAGGTTTATCGACCAGATCGGCGATACATTGAAAATGGGCCAGATTAGGAGTACCCTTAACCGACGAGCGTGTATGCGTAGATATATGGATGTGAAAGAGGCGAGAGAGGTGTGTCAGGATCGCGCCAAATGGAAGTCCGTAGTCTCTGCCTACCCCTCTGGGTGACAGGCGTGAGTGTTTATGTTTATGTTTTATGTTTTTATGTAAATCAAAAAATATTCATACCAAGGTGTGAGTGTTTAGTTTTTTCTTTCTGGAAGGTTGTTCTGGACTCAAAGAGTCTATTAGTTCTCCAATGTTTGCTTCTGTACTTGTTCCAGTCACTCCAACATCCGATGCTATTCCAAAAAGGTAAACTGCTGTACCATCTATATGAAATGATACTTGACCAGAAGCTATCTAAAATAAAAGAATTGTACAATATTATTCCTTTTAAGCAAGATACTGAATTACCTTACTGAACACCTAGCCCAATAATCTAACCTTAGATAAATCCCCTCCCTTGTTACTGCAGCGGCTAAACTGTTAGGTTTTAAATAGTTAAAAAATTTGCATTATTTACTACCAATAAATTATTTACCTTTTTTAAATAAAACTAATTTTTTACGGATTTTATCGCGTATATTAACTTGTTTTATATTCCCGACGTTTCGGGTGCTTTCCAGCACCCGTGGTCACGGGGGACTGAGGTCTTTGATGTCCTGATGTCATAGTTAGCCCGGCTACCTTCAGTTTTTTAATATTAATTTTTGGTTCGATTTCGTTCAAAAAGCACGAACAAGCTACGAACAAGAAATACTGCAGGCAGGACCAAAAAAGTTTTACTCCTATATAAGACAATAAGTAACATCAAAAGTAAGCATTCCTACTATTTTGCTAAACAAGCAAGGACAAACTGTGACCCAACCTCACGAAATTGCCAGGGTATTTGCAGACCAATTCGCGAGTGTTTTCCAAACAGAACCAAATGACCAACTGCCTATGATATAATGACACTCCGAATAGAGTCAGGATTCCATTGAAGAAATTCTGTTCACGCCAGACCAAGTCAACCGAGTCATTTCAGAAATGAAAACAGATTCATCTCCGGGACCAGATATACCAGTAACTATATTGAAGAAATGCAACCTATATCACTATTTAACGACAATTATGCAAACATCGTACGAGACAAGCACCTTACCGGACTTATGGAAAACAGCATTGGTGACACCCATATTTAAAAAAGGTAGCAAACTGGAACCAACCAATTACAGACCCATCAGTCTGATCAGTGTGGTCTGCAAGATTATGGAGAAAATTATAGTCAAGCATATTAAAAACTTCCTCTCCAACCACAAAGTTATCCCTAAACAGCAAACATGGTTTTTGTCCACATCGTTCCACGATTTCCAATTTATTATTATGCCTATCATCATAGACCAAACACTTTAATGAGAGAGAGCCTATTGACGTAATTTATCTTGACTACGAAAAGGCCTTCGATAAAGTCCCTACGAGAAGACTCCTCCAGAAACTGGAATGCGTAGGAATACGTGGAAAACTACTGGCTTGGATCGAGTCCTTTTTGCGTGGGAGAACTCTACAAGTAAGAATTGGTGAAACAAAGTCTGATCACATAGATATACATAGTGGAGTGCCACAGGGTTCCATTCTAGGCCCTGTATCATACATTATTTATACTTTTGACCTTCCCCTTTGCCTACAGTGTAATGTCAGCATATTTGCAGATGATACTAAAATATTTGCAAATCCACTAATAGACTACGACCGCCTTCAGGATGATCTAAATAAAATAGCTATTTGGTCCAAGGAATGGCTTATAAATCTCAATGCTACAAACTGTACAGTATTACACATAGGAAACCGTAACCCTCGTCTTACCTATAAACTGAGCGGCGCGTCACTTACAGATGTTAAAATATAAACAGATTTAGGAGTCAAAATTGCAGAAGACTTGAAGTGGGAAGAGCATATATCAACAATTGTTAAGAAAGCTAAGGGAATAATCTACCTCGTAAGAAAAGCTTTCACTGTCCTAACACCGGAAATGATGCTTAAGATCCACAAAACATTTATCAGGCCAATATTAGAATACGCATTTCAAGTCTGGAATCCATACTTTATCAAGGACATTGAAGCTTTGGAAAAAGTATAGCGTAACTTCACTAAAGTACCACGGCTATTGAAACGGCAGTCTTATGAAGAACGTTTGGAAGTTTTAAAACTTACAACATTAAAAAGCTGCAGGGACCGAGATCTAATTGAGACCTTTAAGATCTTAAATGGGCATTACGACATTGAGGAATTTGAATAATTGTTTATTTGTAATGAAAACTCTCACCTCAGGGGCCACCATCTTAAACTATGTACCAGCTTTTCAAACAGCAACCCTCACAAGCACTTCATTTGTAACCATGTAGTCACCGAGTGGAATAAGCTTCCAGAGAATGTAGTCTCAGCTCAAAACGTAAACCAATTCAAAAGTAGATTAGATAATCACTTTCAGAACTGCAAAAAGAATAACTAGTGGACAAAAACGGGATACAGGCATTATCAGTTGTCTCAACTGCCTGCCTGTTAATATAATAATAATAATAATAATAATAATAATAAGCCCTTTATGGTTTTGTCTTGCTCTTAACCCTCTGTCTCATATCCTAAACATTCAGGGCACAGGATATCACCTTAAACATGGTAACACCGATACATCAATAACTCACTTAATATACATGGACGACATTAAACTATATACAAAAACCTACAAAGAAATGGACAAACTAATAAATGTTACTGCTGAATTTAGCCGAGATATCAATATGAAATTTGGATTAGACAAATGTAGGACCCTCCATATAATAAAGGGTAAGATACATACAGGAGATTACGCAATAGATGACAATGAAAATCAGATAATAACAGCCATGGAACCGAATGACGTTTATAAGTATCTGGGATTTCACCAGCTCAAAAGCTTAGATCACAGAACAATAAAAGAAAACCTCATTAATGAATATAAAAGAAGATTAACTAACATCTGCAAAACTAAACTGTCTGGAAAACACCTAATAAAAGCTGTGAATACTTACGCCATACCAGTACTTACCTACTCATTCGGTATAGTAAAGTGGAGCAAAACCAATATTTATTCTATAGAGAGAACCACACGATCAATATTAACAAAACACAACTACCACCACCCAAAATCGGCTATAGAAAGGTTAACAATAAAGAGATACAACGGAGGCAGAGGACTCATAAATATACAAAACCTATGGCAAAAACAAGTACACGGATTGCAAAATTTCTTTTATCAAAAATCTCATACGAGTGAAATACACAAAGCAGTCCAATGTAATGACCTCAATTATACACCACTAAACTTACATCAAACTACTTTACAAAGACCCCATAATTTAGTTACAAACCCAGAGCAAATTTTAAAAGAAGCATGGAAACAAAAAGTACTGCACGGCCGACACTATCATGACCTGGAACAACCCTTAATTGATAAAGCTGCGTCAAATCAATGGTTAAAAATAGGTTCTTTATTCCCCGAAACTGAAGGTTTTATTATCGCAATTCAAGACCAAGTTATAAATACTCGAAATTACAGGAAATATATCATTAAAGACCCCACTGTATTAGATGATAAGTGTCGAAAGTGCCACATACATTCTGAAACCATTCAGCATATAACTGGAGCATGCCCCCATCTCGCCCAAACCGATTACACTCATAGACATAACCAGGTAGCTAATATCATACATCAAACTCTTGCTATTCAACATAACCTCATACAAGACACTATTACACCTTATTATAAATATATCCCAAGCACCGTTCTAGAAAATACAACACATAAGTTATACTACGACCGCGCCATTCTAACTGACAAAACAATACATTATAATAGACCAGACATTACACTACAAGATAAACATAATAAAATCACATACCTCATTGATATAGCTATATCTAACACACATAATATTACAAAGACAATTACAGAAAAAATCCACAAATATACAGATCTCCAAGACGAAATTAGCAGAATTTGGAAACAAGAAAAAGCATACATAGTACCGATTGTGTTATCAACCACAGGAGTTATCCCAAAACATCTTCACCACAGCCTGAAACTATTAAATATAAAAGAGAATAAATACATACAATTACAGAAAGCCGCCATATTAAATACGTGCCGCATTGTGAGAAAATTTTTACAAATAGATGAAAACGAAGTTGCGCCCAATATCCCAGAACACACTACTTAATAAAACGCCCATATGCTTTTTACTTGGTGAACACCCGTAATTAGCATTAATAACGGCCGCAAGGCTAGAAAAAATAAAGATATAAAAATAATAATAATATAAAATAAGTTAATATACACGATAAAATCTGTAAAAATTAGTTTTATTTAAATGTGTAGTGTTCGTGTAAATATAAGAAATCATTATTTACCTTTTTTCTTTTATTTTGAAGTATATTCTTCACACCAGCTATTGTTGCTTCACATGTTAATGGTAAAACAGTATTTAGACGGACATGAAGAAATTGTTTCCATAATTCATCTGATTCCATAACTTCATAATTTGTCTCTTCAAACTTATCATGTACTGAGAAGTATGCTTTCATATCTTTATTTTTACTGATGATTATAACAAGGGGGTTATCAGTTATGTCTACATCCTAAAATGTGTTAAATATTATAATTTATAAAATACAAATGAATACGGGTGCATAAATAAAGTAAACAAAAATTTAAGCATATTTTTATTATATAATTTTTATATATATAATTATATAAAAAAAATTCAATGAAAGAAACTCTTTTTGATAATAAAATTACTTTTTTTTACCTGTAATACTTCTTTTGTCTTGTTTTCTATTATTAAAGAATCACTAAATTTTACAACACCACAAAGTTCAATCTCGGCTGGCAGATAGAGCAGCAACTGATTATAAGTGTTCTTTCCATTTTCAAATAATTCTAAACTCAATCCTACGACGAGAAGAATACCGTCGTACATAAGACCATATAAGCATCCCGTAGTTTCACTTGTGTCTATTTGAGACAACCTCTGCAATAATATGTTTTAACATTACTCGTTCAATTTTGAATTTATGAGGAATTTCATAGTTATCGGTAAAGAGTGAATTTAATGATGACGTTAATATGAAACGTGAATTATTCAATTTTATAACATAAACATATCCAAATACACATACATGACGAATATAAACCCAAATTAACAATAGAGAAATCAAATATTTACCTCAATAACATATTTTGTTATTTTGAGTCGTGGTGACATTTTGGTTAAATTGGTCGTCACTCCAACAGCCACTCCACTCGTCACCTCGTCAGACGTCAGTTGTCATTTGTCACTGTCAAAGATTGTTTCATAGATAAATAAATATGTAGGTTAGATCACAGATATAAGAAAAATAGGGGATATGGCATATGGTCACGTGATCTGAAGTCAAGTGTTTCTCAAATATGGCGACGACTCCACCCACAAGACTATTTCTTGTGGGTGGAGTCGTCGCCATATTTTTGTCGATATTTTCAGTATCGATGCTATATAAATTATGACATATTGTCCATCTCATAGGTATATATTAAATAAACAAATATTAGATCACTACACAATTGCATTGAGTTAATCCTGTAATAATAGTTGTATTGAGAAGATAAATAAATAAATCTTACGTTCAACTCAGAATAGCAAAGTTTTGAAACTGTAATTGCTTTAAGATATGGTGAAGCAACAGTCAAAAGTGAGCGAAGAGACCAAGGAAAGAGCACTTGATTGGAGCTTTAATTCCTTTCTTTTCAGAACACGTATAAGACGTGCACCAGAATATTATACTGAGTACTTGCAACGAGCTAACGTTTTTTCGTAACGACGGCAATCTGCACATAAGCACTCCATCCGTGCGTCCCTGGGTCGACGCATGCATTTTTTTTTCTCCTCTGCAGAGATTAACGAAACCACCACTATAGGCAATATATTAGGCTTCGTATGATTTTTTGTCCAGCCCATGCTGTCCCATTACTAGGCAGAAGTCTCCCCTAAGTTTTTCCCAGTGGTTTTGTCCTGCACCACATCGAACCAGCCCCAACGGTATGCGTCTAGGTTGCGTGAATTATATCATATATATGGACTTTATAGCGGCTGGGAAGTTAGTTGCGAGCGCAAGTCCTGTACATTCACGCTTCGCTTTACTCTAAGACACCATCAAGTTTTCTTTCAACTATATCTGCACGGATTAGCGCTCGCTCTTAACTTCAAAGCCGCCATAAAGATTCAACAACACCTTTCTTTCGTGGTCGGTCGGTCGAATGGTCGGTTACCAGTTCAAGTCACAATGAACGTGCAGTAGACCGACCTTCATCTTGATTTATTTAATGTTTGTGGAGCATGTGTTCTTTCATACGTGGTTACTAGCCGTCATCTCTCTTTTTTTTTGATAATAAAGATTATTTATTTATTTATCTCAGTAATCTAATCGAGTTGAGCAGCCCCTTTCTAACCATACCACCGTTCACACAATCCATTAATCATTTAACTATCCTAACGTATTCCTCAATCTTCAGTAACCCATGTTCATACCATATGACAACCAATTTCCATGCAACATTTCGATCAATAGGGGTGGCTGCGCCACTTCAGACTTCCACTTCCATACTCATTTCTCATCATATCCCATTTATGTAATACCACAAAATGTCAATTTTATAGTGTTTACAACCTGCAAGTTGTAATGACTTCCACCAGTAGCGTAATTAGTGGTGGATACTGGAGGTAAACGAGAGAGTAAGGATTAAAAATAAATAAAATATTACAATAATGTTGATACGGCCTACGGCTGCTCCCACAAAGGTCCAATCTTCCGGGGCCCATCAGCGGAGTTTCAACGAACAGACGTAGGTCGGGCCTCAATATGGCCGCGTGGAATTTCCTGTCACAATAAACTATATGGGAGAAAGCTAGAAACTCATAGTACTTACCATTTATTTAAATCTTATTTATATGAATTAAAATGACCAATAGTTAAGATGAAATATTTATTGACATTTCATTTTAAATAAATGTGTGTATTATTTATTTAGTTTGATATTTAATAAATTAATTAATAATAATGTATAGATTATGTACCTTAAAAATTGTAATTTAATTTGATTTCATATTAATTAACAATTAAAATAGATCTTAATATGCTACGCCCGTACAGAGTTGTCACATGCTCTGTAGACATATTGTAACAACTTTATACTTTGTGACATGCAATAAATGAATTATTATCCGAAATTATGAATCATTATCCGAAGCTAACTTAGGCAGACCGTGAGTGTGTGTAATAGTGGATGACGAGTAGTGTACAGTGATGTGCGAAAGGCCCCACGCCTTGGCAAGTATAGGCGACCAGCAGCGGCCGAGTTCCAGGCTGCTCCAAAATACTGCCTCGCTCTAGACTGCTTCAGCGCCGGACCACTTCTTTCTTCATTGTCACTAATTCAGTTTCTTAGTTTCATTGTACATTTAGCTAACTTAAATTTGCCTAATTCCACATTCATCGTAGAATCGAACACGTGACACCCGACAGATTCAGCGTTAAACACAACTAAGTTCCTTCATTCGACACCAGAACAACACGTCGCGCCAGAGTCAAAAATACGCCTCGTTGACACCTAGCTAAGATGCACAATTACTTTCAAAGAATTTACTTAAGCCGTAAAACCCCATAAAGGCCTCTGGTACGGGAACCTAAATCCTAGACCACCAAATCGAACGATTGAGAGCCTTTCATTTATAAAAAGAACTTTAAAATAGTGTAAATCGTAAATTTTCTATAATAGTTTTTTTCATCAAAAGATTTGATGATGTTAAGATTATTTTTGATTGGTACTTAAGAATGCATAATATTTATTTTAGGTTGCCAAAAAATGAAGGCCTTCAAAAATTGTGGATTGATAATATAGGCCAAGAAAACATAAAACTTGCAGTTATAAGAAGAATATGCTCCTTGCATTTTGAAAAAGAATGTATAAATAGAACGCTGTATGTAGTTTGGCTTAAGGGTGATTTGGTTCATGTGTCTAAAATAAATTTTCTGACTAAATAATATTATTTCATCACGAATAAATGATTTTCAGTATACATTGTTGTTATTTTATTCATTTTTAATCCTTAGTCTCTCGTTTACCTCCAGTATCCATCACTAATTACGCCACTGGTTGAAGTCATTACAACTTGCAGGTTGTAAGCACTATAAAATTGATATTTTGTGATGTTACACAAATGGGATATAATGAAAAATGAGTATGGAAGTGGAAGTCTGAAGTGGCGCAGCCACCCCTATTGATCGAAATGTTGCATGAAAATTGGTTGTCATATGGTATGAACATGGGATACTGAAGATTGAGGAATACGTTAGGATAGTTAAATGATTAATGGATTGTGTGAACGGTGGTATGGTTAGAAAGGGGCTGCTCAACTCGATTAGATTACTGAGATAAATAAATAAATAATCTTTATTATCAAAAAAAGTGAGATGACAGCTAGTAACTATGTATGAAAGAATACATGCTCCACAAACATTAAATAAATCAAGATAAAGGTCAGTCTACTGCACGTTCATGGTGACTTAAACTGGTAACCGACCATTGCCACGAAAGAAAGGTGTTGTCGAATCTTTATGGCGGCTTGGAAGTTAAGAGCGAGCGCTAGTCCGTGCAGATATAGTTGAAAGAAAACTTGATGGTGTTTAAGATCACAGTACGTAAAGCGAAGCATGAAGGTACAGGACTTGCGTTCGCAACTAACTTCCCAGCCGCTATAAAGTCTATATATATGATATAATTTACGCAATCTCTGCAGAGGAGAAAAAAAAATGCATGCGTCGACCCAGGGACGCACGGATGGAGTGCTTATGTGCAGATTGCCGTCGTTACGAAAAAACGTTAGCTCGTTGCAAGTACTCAGTATAATATTCTGGTGCACGTCTTATACGTGTTCTGAAAAGAAAGGAATTAAAGCTCCAATCAAGTGCTCTTTCCTTGGTCTCTTCGCTCACTTTTGACTGTTGCTTCACCATATCTTAAAGCAATTACAGTTTCAAAACTTTGCTATTCTGAGTTGAACGTAATATTTATTCATTTATCATCTCAATACAACTATTATTACAGGATTAACCCAATGCAATAGTGTTGTGATCTAATATTTGTTTATTTAATATATACCTATGAGATGGACAATACGTCATAATTTTTATAGCATCGATATTGAAAATATCGTCAAAAACAACGCTATTTCTTGTGGGTGGAGTCGTCACCATATTTGAGAAACACTTGACTTCAGATCACGTGACCATATGCCATATCCCCTATTTTTCTTATATCAATGGTTAGACTACACTCTTATCTATGGCTTAGACTACGGAGTGTAGGTTAAAGGTAGGGTGACGCTTCGGTAGCAAGGGGGCTCAAAAATTGATTCAAAGAAAAAATGTTAATGTGATGAAAATTTATCAAGATAATTATAAAAGTGAAAAATTGTTAATTATAAGTCTTTGCGTTATAGCATGGTGCGGGTGACAGCTTACACTTTTGGTGTGTCTAGAGATGGAACATTGTTAAATCAATTTAAAAAAGGCGATTAACGATACACGAAGCAAAGCAAAAATGATCGATTAAATATCGATATAAAAATTAAAACCGAAACATAAATTTCTTTATAAACTACGATGCATGTAAAATGAAGTTAAAGTTTAATACAAATTTTGACATATTAGTTTTACATAATAGCTGTTCCCGGACCTCACCCGCTTGGTATTTGTTACGATAGGATTTAATGGGTTTTAATTTTTTTTTGAATCTTAATATTTTTCTAAAATAGAGCCTGTGTTACTCTTTATAACATCAACTATCTGTCAGCGCCAGCTATAAGCTGGAACAAACAGACATTAAGACATACATTTTAAAAATTGTTTTTGTCTTTTTGTTATAAATGTATATACCGTATATACTTTCATATGTATTTAGTAAAAGACTGTTATTTTGATATTACAAACAGACTCTTCAATGTATAGATTATACTATGTATTAATTAAAAAATAAAAATCATCTTCTATTTCATGTTGATTGCAACAATTCCTATTGACATTTAAACAAATAAAATAGCTGCCAGCATCTGTAATTTCCAGTACGTCATTGACTGCACCGGCAACTTTTCAAGGTAGGAGTGCTAGCGCCTTTTGTTATATGTGTATTAGTTGTGCCAGGTCCAATGGGCCAAATATCGGGACGGAA